GGGATTTCGTTTTGCGCCCACACCCGCGGTAAAGTGACCATGGAGCAAACCAGAGTGAAAGGCCGTGAAAAATACTGTCAATTAAATGCGATGGGTCGGGCAGATGGCTGTGTTCCATCGAGTGATATTCATGGATTCGTGACAGATCGATTTGTCGCCTTCCATGAAGGTGGAATGATTTGTTTTATATATAGCTTATGAGGACCGCTGTGGCAGAGGACGGCACGAATAACAGAAGAATAGTGTGGCCGGTACAGTCTGTCTGATTGGTGAATGATGCTCGATCAATCGGTCTGCGTTTATCCGATTTTACAGCGCTTCCTTAATATGCCATGTTCGGTTCTTCAAATGCTAGCCTTTCGCTGACGTGAAGTGCACCGCTTGTTCCAGGGAGTTTGTACACTCAGCCTTGCTTTGGTTTTTGCAACGAGTCCATCTTCATGCTGTTCCGGCAAAGCTACTTGTTTTTCGGAGACGGCGAACAGCTTCTGTAGATCGTGCTTTCCGCTGTCGTCGCGGCCATAAACGCGCCAGCACATTCATACGACACATAACCAGACTTGTAGGTTAATTGGTTTTTTGCTTTACAGATGTTGTGCAGCGGTGGCGTTGATTCGACGGTGTGCGCCGCGCTGTTGACTCGAGCGTTGGGCAAAGATCGGGTAAAAGCGGTGCTGATCGACAACGGATTCATGCGCCGCAATGAGGCTACCCTTGTACACGATTCACTGAAAGCTATTGGGCTGCATGTCGAAGGTACGTTTGTTGTTGCGTGCGGTGCTTCATCTCATTCATATACCTTCATATAGTACGCTATATGGGCTATGTATTTTATTACGCAACAACCGAGCTGCACACGGACACGATGGGATGCATAACTACTGAATCTCTTTGTCAGACTACTGATCCAGAGATAAAGCGCCGAATTATTGGTGACACGTTCATGAGGGTATGTGTTATGATCAGGTTTCTTATTTAAGTTATTCTGTTCTTTCCTTTGCTTATGTCGCGCTTCATGGGCGAAACGTTTTTTTCCAGTTTCAGTATTGTTCATAACTTAGTTATGAAATAATTGCCTTGTTTAATCTCCTTTCCAAAGTTATTTTTGAGGTCCTTAATCAAGCTAGCAGATTGAGTTCAATTCTTTTACTTAAGTTTTGTTTAGGACAGTATCCATGACTATGATGTTATGAAAAAAAGGAAGGAAAGTTTATAAACCGTTGGAATGTCGGTCTTTCTTACACTTACATAAAGAGGCCAAATCTAGACCGCTGTTCTCATAGAGTTAATGGTTTGGCGCTGATCTCCATTTCCATATCATCAAGCAGGAGTGCCTTATTTTTTAAGGCAGAATCGAAAGCAGCAATGTGACAAGCTTAGTCTGTATTCTCCTGTTTCTTTCCCACTCAGAGTGGTACTCATTTGTCAACCTTAGAAGGGGGTAGGTGAGTGACCTTGACTGAGGCTGGAACCCAGGACCTTTCAGTTCTGAGTCAGACGCTCTACCAACGGATTAAACCCCACTCTGAAGCAATGCATGGTACATACCTTTCTCAAGGAAATTCATGATAAAGACGAAAATTGCCCTCCGCGCGAAGCGAAACTCCGGGGTTCGAGTTCGAAGCCGACTTCATGTGCACCATGCCACCACGCCAGAATGATACTATGACTTTATTGAAAATACACGCAGCGTATAATTTTGGTACAGAATCAAGCCTTCGACTGATGCTGCCAGCCTTTATCAACTGCAGACAATATAATATTCAGAGGTACGGTGATACGAGAGTCAAAGTGTAACTGCAGTTGCTCTTTGCTCTTTGTCTGAAATTTACGCAAGTTTCGCCGCGATAGGGAGATATAAATTACTTCCTCTCTGTTCATGCCGTTGGGTCTTGCCCGAATTATGAGCGCTTCGTCATCTGCTGATACTACTACAGACTTACTATCACCGCGTAGAACTCGGTTGGCGAGTGCATTTTCACGAGGTTCCCAAACGAGTCCTTTGTCGATTTTGAAACTCGATATCATCTCTTTGAACTGCTTAAAGAGATGATGCGCAACTGTGCATGCCTGATTCTAAGCGCACTCCATCAGCGAGCCACGCACTGTAGAAAACAGTTCGTTGATATGACCGCTTTTAGCATACGCTATTTCTATCCAGCCACTCTCGTAACTCTTCAACACTGCCGAATAAGTAAGTTCATTTGGCTGAGAACCACGGCACAAATTACTGCGTCATCAGCTTGTTTCTTGTAGGTGGCACCGTTTTTAATAATGCGATAGCTGGAGGTGTAAAAGACGAATGAAGCAGATGATAGATGAGATTCCTGCGCAACTGCGCTGATGGTTAGGCGGGTTGTTTAGTTCATATTACAGATGCAAACGAAATGACAAATCCAGAGTAATAAGCATTAAGCAATATTACGCTTAGGATGAATGGGTCGATGCCGACAGGTGGTAATTGGCAACGATTCGCGAGATATAGTGTTGTATTCCGAGTTGCAGTCCAGAAATGCTGAACTAACTAGTAAACTTACCTTGCGTAGATTACTCAGGATAAAATTGATCGCAGCATTGAGTGCATCATCAGAACTTGAGCCTCTCGTGGAAATAGAGCGGCGCGTTGCACTGGCATCGACTTCGGGAACTTCGGGCGACTATAAAGAGGGACATGACCGATCTATTCGGACAGCAACCGATATCACCATTCTGAAAGCCGCCGTCTTTTCAGTTCTCATCTGTAGCCTCGAAACATCCACCCTTTTAAAGCTCCATGAAAAGGTGTTAGACACTTTTCGGCAGTTTTGTCTGCGGAACATTCTGAAAGAGCGATGGTTCCATCGAATAAAGAAAGAAAAAATCTTGAAGACGACCGGCTTGAGAATACTGTGTGAAGAAATCATGGACCGACGTCTGTAGTGGTTTGACAGAACCATCCGAAGAGAGAATGGCGACTTATCCAGAACCATTCTTCTCTGCAAAGTAAAACATGACCGCACACACGTCGGAGGCCAACGTTGCATCCTAAGGCAGCTACAAGATACGGACTTGCTTGTGACGAGAAATGTGACCTTTGTCGCAGCAATCAACATCGCCTAAATTATTCTGCGAAGCCATAGCGTCATGCATCTTTAAGCTGGGTGCTCGGTATTTGACCTGACGATGACTTAACAACAATCTCGGTCTCTCACATAGCTGACTTGTTAGGGCTGCTCTTTAATATACCTTGACTTATGTCGGTAGTAGAAGGATTGTCGCACGATATTTCTAAATTTCATTTGTAATGCGTAGGTTTCTCATGTTTCGAGAACAACGTTTTCAGAATGGCAATTTTTTCTACATCAGCGGCGAGGGTTTGATTGAAGAATCGGTTGATCTGTGTACCTTGACACTCTCAGAACTGCATGGACTGGCTAGACGATGAAATGAGCAGAAGGAAGAAGACATGATTAGCTTTAAGTATATGAAAATAGTATTCGACGGCGAGCTGCGGCGAATTAGGTTCCTTCTGTACCACCGCATTGCCCTCCATGACCTACGAACGCTCGTTCACTGCGAATACCGGCGACAACAAGCTGGAGTCACGCTAAGAGCGATTGTGTGAAGAATATGTAAGAATGTTTCCGTGATCGCCTTCTGGGGACACAAGTCCGAGGTCGGACTGGATTGTCGGATGTCCTCACTGCCATTTGTGACTTCAGAAGAAGATTTATCGACCGTGCGGCTGTTCCTTATGTACGAATATGCGACCGACGCAGCTGCACTGAAACACTTTTCTTTACATGGCTTCGGAACAGCGCACCCGTTCAAGTGGGAAATAATATGCCTGAGATTCCTTTTCTAAGTTTTGTTTGGCCACAAATCTTCATATGATCTTTCTATACTGATAATGCCCGCCGATCTTTATATACTGACTTGTCTTACAGGCATGAGAATACGTGCCTGCGGAGTTCTGCATTTTGTTTACCGCCTCCTGTTCTTCGTAGGCTATCACTGTTAGTGAGAATTTGGTAGAACTAAGTGACATAAGCGTCTGTAGAGGTACGAGTAGTAACTGCTTCACTTAACTTTCACTGTTTTCGTAGATATATTCCGTTTTTTGCAGATGAGGCTTCGGTGGCATCCACGCATCTAGTACTTGCTTTTTTGTCGCTTATGGGAGAATATTCAATGAATGTCCATGTTTAGCCATGCAGAATTATAACATACTTATCAGACGTGTCGTAAATGTGACAGAGGGAGATTTGAGCGCGCCTATTTATTTCATTACGGTCATTGTGCCGATTCTGTTACCGGTCGCATTGTAGGTGGTAAAAGAGACGCTAGGCCATTCATCAATCGGCCAAGGAGACATGTTTCTTGCTCAGGGAACCTTGCGACCAGACCTGATAGAGAGCGCCAGCAGTTTGGCAAGTGCCAACGCGGACGCGATCAAAACCCATCACAACGACACGGAGTTGGTCAGGAAGTTTAGGTCGCACGGCCGGTTGATTGAGATCTTGAAAGACTTCCACAAAGACGAAGTACGTGCGTTAGGCGTCGAGCTTGGCTTGCCAGATAGCATTATTAATCGACATCCGTTTCCAGGTTTGTTGCAGTGGTGCGTTACGCGTCACCTCACCTCGTATCCGTTTTCGTTTAGGTCCCGGTCTGGCTGTGCGGATTTTGTGTTGTGTCGAGCCGTTCCGATGCAAAGATTTCAATGACACGCAGACGCTGCTTCGCGCCGTCGCTCAGCTGTACGCGTTCATTCAGCGAGTACGTTGCTGGTTCTATCTCTAGTCATTGATCATTATCTAAAAACCGTGATCGGCTTGACTGTACTGTCAAGCGGCGTAAACTCGCAGTCGTTTAGGAAAACCACATTACCGAAAAAATCAGACACTGCCTGTCAGAGGCCGAATATGAATGGCTATATCATTGTACGAAAAACGTTCAGCTTAACGCCACGCTTCTTCCGATCAGAACCGTTGGTGTACAGGTAGCGTTTGATAGTTTTGTGTCGAAATACGATTCTCGTTTACCACTTCATCTGCTTCGTTTCAGGGCGACCATCGAAGTTACTCCTATGTCGCTGCCGTTTCCAGCAACTGTTCGTCCGTACCTTGGGGACACATGCTTCGGCTAGCGAAGGTTATTCCAAAGGTCTTACACAAAATAAACAGGTGAGTTTCGTTCGACGCGCAACTGTATTTGGTGAGAATGAACCGGAAAGTTTTCTCTTGTTTACCGGAACTGTGGCATCTCTCCTAGTTGCTGTTCTTTTCGAAGCATTGGTTTTGTAGCTTTATTTAATTTTGAACGCTGACCTTCAAGTTACTTAGTTTTTAGTCATCTGACACCTGTAATATTGTCTCATCGGATCGTGGAGTTGGTTTTTCATGCATAGTAGTAGAAATTTCACTGTTGTGAAAGTAGCCTTTTGAGTGGATATTTGTTATGATTCCATGGTTGGACTTCAGATTTCACCGATGTTTCTAACCACTGGACGTCGATCATCATAGCACAATAAAATGAATGTTCGCCAGCGTTGAGCCAGATGATACCTGATATGGTTGGCAGAATGTGTGGAAAGTTTCACCGTTTGTTGAAGAGCCAATTAATGGCCAGTTATATAGAAAACCTGATACTCATGCCTTCTGTGAACCAGAAAGCCCGTCAGTTTGGCAGCGGAATGGCATTTTAACGCAGCTGCTCTCCCGTACCCGAAAAGAATGGCAGGATTTGAAAGTTAATACTTCAATGAAGAATCGATTAATTAATTCCCACTCCGCGGAAACGTCAGAGAAGCAAATGCATCCTTTACAAGCCGACCTTGTTTGACTGAGATGTAAATTCAGCTCAAGTTTACTTATATATGGGAGATAGTATATATATGCTTTTCAGCAGTTCGAGGCACGGATGTCCGCAGTAATGCATGCGGGAGGAACGTCAAACACCACTGATTTGACGGGCAAGCGACTGCGCCCAAAAGAACGAATTAATACGTATTTGCTTCCAGTCGGTTAAAGTGACAGTAACAGTTCTAAATAATATTTGCATGAATCCTATTAGACATGGAAAGTGGTTGCTGATTAATAGTTTCGTTTTATCATTGTCAAGTGTTGAGCCCAGTGTTGTCAGTATAGTGACAGCTTTCCGGAGTGTGAATTACATTCCGGACGACGAGCGTTCCTTTTTGTAATGGTTGTTCTGTGTTTGACCAGTTTAGTTTCGAGCGATCTCTGAGTCTTACTGATATAAATGCGGTCGTTGTTACCATATGAAATTTGATATGGCACTTTTCTGCTGCCCATCCTCAAGTAAGGGTGGAACTTCTTCCGCAGTAGGTTCCCTGTGATGGTTTGTCCATGCGGAAGAATACAGTAAAGTCTTAGTTGTTTTCGAATTAGTAGAATTTTCTTACATGCGTCTGAACATAATTTACTGAAACCGGAAGTTATGCTTGAAAAGCTGGAGGTACCTAATTTCAGGTGTATAAATGCGACATTGAACGAATATAGCAGACATTTAGTTTAAGGTATGTTTAAGAATGAAGCTAAACTTACTATCTGAGCGGTAGATCGTCTTTTCAAGAGCGTCACTTCTGAATGTCACTTCCCAGTGATTCATACATTCCGTGATGTTAATTAAAAAAATATTGCAGTGGAAAATTACGGTTAGAGTGCTGCGGTTACACTGTGAAGGACAACCTGTTTGACACAGAGTGAAACGGCAAGGAAACGTTTTGGAAACCTGACGAGAATTTGTACCCTGGATTTTCTGAATATTTCTGATTTTTCCTGGGTTGTTGCAATGACAGCGGCAGCAATTTTGAATTTCTCTTGGCGAATTATCAGAAGTTACGCAACTGTCAGCGCACAAGCTGAAACTCATTAAACCCTCAGTTTTTTGAACATATTGCTTTGCTTTGTTTGAAAAGATGACTCTCCTTCACTTAACGCTGTATCGTTGTGGGCTCGTTTGGCATGAAATTTAATTCCCATTCTCCTCTAAGTGAGTTTTACTGCCTAAGGCATATGGCAGCAGTAGTCATTAGCATCTTTCATGCTGAAAGGCAATCGACAAAGATCTGCGATAAAGACCTAGGCGTTTTGGATATTAAGCTGAAGGGTTAGTTGTTTCTTGACGGGTAGGTATCTTAAATACGTTTGGTTGCCACTTTACTGTCATAAATTGTGCCATAGTGGGTCATATGGAAGATCGCCTGAATAATGTCGTTTTTCTCTGTTAAGCAAAGCCTGTACAAACTTTTAGATGTTAAAATAGTTTTGTATTGCTTGTGGAAGGCCATCAAAGTTTAAACCCCGATTAAGTAGGTACTAAGGACATTTCTCCACGCAAGCGGTAGCATGCTATAAGAAATGACAGTGCGACGTATATTACAATGAAGCATTGATGGTAGTATTTGTTTCGTTGCCATACGTAGGGAAAGTACCGAGTTGGATTTGATCTGTCCAGGGGTTAATACTGTGATATGCCGCCATTTGGTTTTGCGTGATTTGTTGTCACGTTCAACAGTATTCATGCTGTCTGTGGCTAGACTGTCGTTTGATTTGTTTGTTGGTTGACTTAATGTCTACTAAAACGCTGCCTGGCTGACGCCGGTGCTCACTGATTCTTTTGGTTTGGTAGC